AATAAAATGTATTTAAGTTCTCTCTGTTTTGCAGGTTATTTAGTGTATTCTGACCTGCTATTTGCGGCTTACTTTAGGTCAGACTATACAAACTACACATCTAATTTGACTTTAATTTTAGGCTTTATGTAAAAACAAACACCTATAGTCTGAGAAATCAGTTTTGTGAACTTTGACGGTGCTCTAAATCTGCCAGTTTCAGACTGTTGAATGACTTTTGTTCTTTGCATAAACTGATTGGCGCGATTATGCATTCACAATGGTATGAACGATTATAGGGGTGGTCAAATGGATATCTTTTATTTTAATTATTATAAACATTATCATTAAAAAAACAGATCAGACTGAACTTTTCTCTTAGATTCAAAGGGACCCTATCTTGTTTTGAAATCCTTTAAGAGGGATCAAACCTTAATTAGGGGGGGTCAGTCCTAATCCTAGTGTTTAGGGGGGTCTTTTAAAACATATGCATCGTATGTTTGGAACTACAAAAGGGTTTAGTGCTAAATGATGACAGTATTTTAATACAAGGTCGAACTAACCCTTAGTAGGTCACCTGCAATGTTGGGCAACAGAAACAGAAAACTCTTTGTCTGAATGATTATCTGGTGAAGGAACAGAGCATGCTGCAGTATTTTCAAGTGACTGTAACAGATTAAGTTTACTATGACCTCTAGCCTGTCTTTATGAGCTCCCAACGGGGTCCATCACTCCTCAAAATCCAATATTCCAACTGGAGGACTATCAGTTACGTAACTAAAAGCATGGCATGATGGTCTGGAAAGCAGCAAGTAAATAACTCAGTGTTCTTGGGGTGAAGGCACAAAATCATTTCTAAGACAAGGAACATTGTTTTTCAAAACCTTTATATAAAATTGAGCATCACCCTCAGAATACAAAAAAGTATCACATCTTATGGTGCCACAGTTCGCTGGGAAGATCTAGGACTTGTGTGTTAAGGAAAATAGTGAACGACACCAGCTAGAAAATGGAAACCTCCAATGTAATCAGCCATTTCCTTGGTATTTAGAAGAAGTCATCGATAAGCAAAACAAATCAGATATAATTAACTAATTCAATAACTATAGATGACAAATTAACCGAAACATCCAAAGCTTAAAAAGAAAGTCATTCAATCATTTTCTTTTCGGCTTAGTTCCTTTATCAATTTGAAGTTGCCACAGCGGAATGAACCACCAAACTTATCCAGCATATGTTTTATGCAGCAGATGCCCTTCCAGCTGCAACCCATCATTGAGAAACATCCATACACTCATTCTTACACATACACAACAGACAATAAAGTTATAGCACATGTCTTTGGACTTGTGGAAGAAACCAGAGCACCCGGTGGAGACCCACATGTACATGGGGAGAACATACGAGCCAGCGACCTACGCCACCGCACCACCCGTTTAAAAGGTAAGTTCACCAACACCACCACCACCAAAAAAAAAAAAAAAACAATTACTCTTAGTTTTCTCTCTATTTCATGTGGTTCCAATTCCAATCAACAAAAAATAAATATTTTTTAAATGTTGTATTTTGTTAGCCATTGTCATTCATAGAAACTTTTAATAAATCAAATTGAATGACTAGATTTCTTTTCAAAATATATTCATCTGCGTTAATCAAAAGAAAAAAATGGTTTGGGGTGAACTATCCTTTTTAATTGAAGAGTTTAGAAAAAAAAACTGAAAAAAAACTGCTTAAACCAGCCTAAGTTGGTTAGCTGGTTGACCAGTCTGGTTTTAGAAGGGTTTTGGCCATTTCCAGGATGGTTTCAGCTCTTTCCAGCCTGGTCTTTGCTGGTCAGACTGGGAGAGGACCAGCTAAAACCAGCTATGTCCAGCTTAAACCAGGCTGCTCAAGCTGGTTTTAACTGGCCACTTTCCAGCCTGACAAGTTAAGACCTGGCTGGAAATTGCTGAAATTATCCTCCAAAAATGGCCATAAGCCCTCTAAAATCAGACTGGTTGGCCAGCTAAAACTAGCTGACCACCATAGGCTAGAAGCTGTTTTTTCAGCAGGGAAATGTTGTTTTTAAATGTTTTATTGTGCATTATTTCAAAAACTCCTTGAAAGTTGTTATTAATAAGGTGGGATGTTATAAGTACAACTACAACTTGCTTTACGTTTCACATATTCAACTGATGAAGGTCAGTGATGAATCATGAATCATTATGTTCAATCATAGTTGTGCAAGATGACTGTATCGTGTACATGAAGTTGTACATAGACTTGGCTTCGTTAATTAAAAAATATTTCATTAATTTCAACAAAACTTCATCAATTAAAAATGCCATGATTTTGACTGAACAGCCCTAAACTACGAGTTTACAGAAAATCTGCACTAACCCTCACATTTGCTGCAAACCTGTATGAATAATCAGTTCCAAAAGAAAAGAAAATGAAAAAAGAAAACTTTTTACCTCAAATAATAAAGTATAACTCTTCAATATCAATCCAAAACTGAGGCAATGCATTGCTAATTTGATCTCAAACACGTATACAAATTTGACCTGTTAAATCAAAACTGAAAACATATCACATCTCCAGTGGGAATGTTTTTTGTCATCTTATTTCAGCGGGACTTCTGCAATATTGTGTCAACATCTGAGCGTCAGCAAAAGTTGAACAATGAAAAAGAGAACATTCACACAAATCTACACCAAAAGTCCTTTAATCTGTCGTGGATATTTCCTAGAATAGTGGAACGTGTTTACTAGTATTGTTACTTCGACGCGTGTTTGGCCCCTCCCTTCAGCTCAACTAGTCTCTGGGTTAATTAATCTACTCTATTTTAACAATTCTCAACACATCTGCAATATCTCATATAGGATACCTCGGCATTGCATAGACAGACCAATTTCCCAACAATATTTAACGACAATGAATATACAACCACGCAAAATACCAAGGAAAGATGCCCCAGATTCAAGACATGTGAAACATGAAGTTTCGCGTCTACACCGATATACAAAACATTAAAACAATCTCCCTTCAAAATGAAACATTCGCGAACATGTAATACTCGCACTTTCATAAAACAAGCCACTTTATTTGGATTTATTTAGGAAAGAATAACCACAGCATCACTCACCGTTTGCAGACATGCGGGAGCCACAGAAAACAACAGTAGGTTGTTGGAAACAGGAAACAACGAACAGAAAGCCACGAAGGAAAGTAAGAGTTGCTCGGCGTTTGCTGGTCTTGACTGTGAATGAGGGTCCACGGAGAGAAGCGTGACTAAACCGATGCCATTCAAACTTGTACCATTAAATAACGATTACCGTAAAACTTCAAATATCCCGAGTGTGAAATATCAACAACAGGTACTTTTCAAACAAATGATTGAACAACATTGGTTTCATATGCATTTTATTTCTCTTTCCTATAGGTCATTTAAAAATGTTCATAATGCATGAACGAATCAATTCATAAATAAAGGACTGACAATGGAAGAATGTAAATTGATAAAAGAAACACTGTAAAACCCAGCAATCAACTTTATCAAGTGAAATGAGTGTAGTTAACTCAACATTTACCTACAGTTAATTCTACTCATTTGAAAAGAGTTTTGAACTTAGTGTTGTGAAGGTATTGGGTTAATTAAATACCTCATTACTCCAACTTAAATGGAGTAAGTTCGAAGTAGTCAAATAGATTAGTTTTTTTAACTTAAATGGTTTGAGTTGCCTTAACTTATTGAGTTTTTACAGTACTCAAGTTGGTTTGAGTTCTCTTCATTTATTGGGTTTTACTGTGCTCAAATTGCTTCGTTTACTCAAATGAATTAAGTTCACAGTACAAAGTACAAAAGGGACAGACGGAATCTGCATAATTTTTTTATTTTTATTTTTTTGCTATTTCTGTGAAGAATTTTGGTAAAAACCTGTGAATTTATGTGAAATAATTTTGGGAGTATCATAACTAAAACCTTAATATATAAAATAATAAGTAATACCTTTTCAACTTGTATTTAATGTTTACAATGCAGAACCAATTAGACCCACTTTATTTGTTAAACAAAGCAAGTCTCTTATATAATATCTCCAATAAAAGACAGAAAACATTACTTTACAAACTGTATTGTAAATAAAGCATATAAACATTTTCATATTAGTCAACAATATTACTGAAATTAATTTTAAAACTGAATAAATATGAATTTACACATATACGCAAGTAAATAAACAGAATCAATGATGGGCTAAAAATCGGTGGAATTCTGCGTGCGGAGATTCCGTGTGGGCCTACTCATTAGAATCAGTTTTTGAACTTAGATTGTTTGTTGCAATCGGTTTCCTCAAATGGTTTGAGTTACCTTCACTTTTTGGGTTTTACAGTGTACAAAACATTTGTGTACTCTCGGTGAACGCTAGAGGGTACTGTAAAATTCCGATAAGCACAAACATCTCAGTATTTCATGTCATCTAAATTCCTTTCATTTCCTTTTGGATTTCCAAAGTATTTAATAGTTTATTATTATTGTAAAATCAAATACAAATCCCATGTTTCAATTCTTACTACCTACTAGACAATGAAAATGTTACACAATTGAATGTAAAACAACATACCAACTCACAAGACTGCAACATTTAAAGAAAATCTAAAAAACTGAGGGAGATTTACACACAATCTTACACTCAATAGCACAAGGTGATAGTGGTTCTATATTGATACCTTGCTCAAATCATGCGCTTTTGATGCAAAATGAAAGTGAATTTTGTTTACAAGTCAGGAAATGGAACAAACACGTTTCCCAAATGCATTAATTACAATCACATACAGTATGACAGAACAGTTCCTATGGTTTGATAACAGAAACATTCCTTCACCAGTGTTTCATCAAAGACAATATGAACACACGGTCAGACTTAAACTAAAAATCTTTGATTCTGCAAATTGTGTAACGCGAGAGCATTTTTCCTCAAACCCATTTATTTTGCAAGTAAATCCCTGATTTACATCTACATACTGAAATTCAAGCATTTCTCCCCTCACACAACATTCATTTATTTCCCCTTTAAAACAACAGGAAGTTCACTGCATGGAATGGCAGGACGCGATGCTGTAGGATCCAAAATCATCTGAATTTTAAAAAGAGTTTTCACATTTGCGTTTGACATTAACAACACACACATATGTCGAGGTGGAGGGTTTTGTCACGGTGGCCTTCGTTTCCTTCAATTCAGCAACACTACATTCATTGCCTCTGTGCAAATGTTAATAAAAACACCAAACTTAAAAGAAATCGCTGAAGTATATGCTCCGTGCCAAGCACAAACACTTGACACATGCATGAAAGTGACTATATGGAAAAGGTATGCATACTTCTACCATCAAACCCTAAAATTATCTACAGAACAGGCCACGAATTAAAAAAAAAAACGTTGATTTATATTAAAAATCTGGATAAAGAATAGAATATTTCTACACAGCAGCAGAATTACAGGCATGAAGTGGAGATTTTATATTAAAAGGGCAATGTACTAATGACAATGCATATATTAAAGTATATATATATATATATGTAAATATATAATGTACAATTATAATACACTGCTCCAGACCAGAGAGAACGGATTTCAGTCTTCATGGCCCTCTTCAGCATCTGACGGGACCCAAACAATCAAACTCCTCCACCTGATAAAGAGACATCATTAGAGCTTAGCCTAAATCATAAAATCAGATTACACCATTAGCATCTTCCTTAAAAAATTGTGATAAAAGTGTAATGATAATTTTCGGATTTATAGCTTGTCTCCTCTATAAATACATTGTTAATTAAGACTGGAAGAATATTGAAAACTCGCTCTTTTTTGGGTCAATATCAAAGAACTTTGTTGCCGTACCATGACATATAAAGTTTCTTGTTTATTATGCCAGAATAAAATTATAGCCATACCGACCTAAAAAAAAGCAACTTTTCATTTGACATCGGTCTTAGTACACAATGTAACTGCAGAAGAGGCAAGTTTTAAATAGGAAAGTTATTAAAACTTTTTTTTGACATTTCTGAGCAAGATGCTTATGGTCTAATCCGATTTAATGATTAATGCTAAGCTGAGCTAAAAAACACTCCTGTGAGACCCTAAAATCAGCTGAATGAAATCCAAAATAGTAAAACTCAGTTGTTTGACTCTAGGGGACTTGTAAATAGATTTTTCTTTGAAGCAGAGATGATTATACTAGGGCCCATGGGCCAAAGTTGGCCCTTGGTAATCTTTGATTAAACCCACCATCCCATCTGATAAGAGAGTGAGGGTTAGGGCGAATACATTTTCACATCACCGAGCAAATCAAGGCAAAAAAAACAGGTGCAGCTTGACTAGCATAACTCCATTCTGTTATAAATGAGATTGTTTTGTTTTTTTACTGTAATAAGTTCATTATAAAATAAACTCTGTATTAGTTAACAAAGCAGTGTTTTCAGGTTATTTTTAAATATTAAATAAATTAGGAAATCACCAATGGCAACTTTAATGTAATACAGTTTGGGATATTTAACTTCGGCCCACCATGCTTAACCAAGACCCTTCATAAGAAAAGGTTTAGGCACCTCTGCTTTAAAGAGAGTAAAGAGTTAGGCTTACCTTGCATCTTTCTGAGCTGACCATCATCACATTGTCCTGCTGTACTCAATGCCGCTCTTGGAAGAGATGCCTGACCATGGCAGAAAGCTGCGCAGAAGATTCTGTGCTTGCCTGTAGATTCTCTGAGGAATAGAGCAGGGGCTCAGACTAGCCAGTGCCGAACCTATATGATGGATATAATCAGTGCTGAGCGAGTCAAGGAACACGTCTACCAGTCATATTCATGAGATCTAAGTGACATTCAAAACAGCTGTACTATAGTTTAAAATTTGGGCTAGTTTCTTTGTTTTTTTTTTTTTGAAAGAGTTTTCTGCATTTATTTGATCAATATTAGTAAAACTTAGTGTGAAATCATGTGAAATATCAATACTATTTCAAATAACTATTTTCTATTTTGATATACATTACACTGCAAATTATTTCTGATGACATCATTGAATCTTCAGCAGCATCCTTTAGAAATCATTCTAATATGCAAATTTGCTAAGTTTCTTTGTGAAAACTACATTTTTAACCCTTTATAGGTCACTCATTTAAATATTCATAAGGAAAAAACTTTAATGCTATTGGAGATTATTATAAGATTTTTTTAAACTTTTAATCATAAACAGAAATTTTAAAAAAATTAAATATATATTACCATATATGGTTTCTCACTTGATAAAATAGATTTTCTCTATTACAAAAAATAAAAATAAAAAATTGCACAGGATTTAGACATATTGCATGCAAAATTTGTTAATTAAACGTAAATATAACCAATTCAACCATAAAAAAATATTCAATCTACTTCACTTTCATTCAACAATAGCATCCTGTGAATTAATACTTAATTCAGCTAAGAGGTCATGTTATGATGAATCTATTTTTTAGTGGTCACATCATCACGTGATAAAAGCCAGCATTCACTAAACTCACTTTAACCTCCCTGCACATTCAAACAAGCATTAAAAAAGGTTGCATCCATCCCATGTCTTCATTCAATTATTTTCCTTTAGATTAGTCCCTTTATTCATCAGGGGTCGCCACCGCGAAATGAACCGCCAACTTAACCAGCATATGTTTCACACACCAGATGCCCTTCCAGCTGCAACCCAGTACTGGGAAACACCCATACACACTCATTCACAGTCACACACTACGGCCAATTTGGTTTATTCAATTCACCTAAAGTGCATGTCTTTGGACTGTGGGGGAAACCGGAGCACCCGAAGAAAAACCACGCCAATTTGGGGAGAACATGCAAACTCCAAACAGAAATGCCAACAGACCCAGCTGGGACTCGAACCAGCAATCTTCTTGCTGTTAAGCGACAGTACTGAGCCATCGTGTCGCCCCATGCCATGCCTTAATTTTGATCATTTTTACTCACTTACTAAGCCAGGGGTGGGCAAACATGCTAATCAGTGTCTTCAAGATCACTAGAAATCTATAAGTAGGTGTGTTTGATGAGAGTTGGAGCTAAGCTTGTGCAGAACACCGGCCCCACAGGACCGAGTTCACCCAAACCTGCTCTAAGCTGTTCATGAGATCAAACTCAGATATATTCATTTCTGTGCATAGTTAGCAACTCCGTCAACACCTAAAAAGCTCTCAGAAAATTCACATTTGACCTTTGATTTACTACTACAAGTTTAACGAGGATGTAACCAATGTAAAAATGAGGGTAATTATGATATGGCATGAATGCACCTAAACCAAACATAAGAATGTAGATAAAAACACAAATAACACATGATCTGGTAAGATTATTGGCTACCAGTAACAATAAATACATGTGTATAGACAGCTCTGGAAAAAATTCAAAGAAAATGGCGATCGGTTCTCTGGATTTGACATTGAGAAGTCAATGTTTGGAGTAAAATCATTCATTTGGGCTTTATATATCCATTTAATAAAATACTGATAATGTAGCTTCAAACATTCTAATAAAAATATTATTGTTTATTTGATCATATTAACAGTGAGCCTGGTCAATATTAAATATTTTCATGATTTTAGACCTTAAATATTGGGGAAAATAGCCATGCATAAATGTATTATTTATACACGTCAAACATGTAAACATATACCTTTTCCTCCTATTATTTAAAGTCTTAAAAAAGTACATATTTTAATACTGACCTACTGTTAATATCTGCAAACAAACAATAATTATTAAAGTAAAAATTGATAAATATAATAATTGTTACTCTCCAAAACACCTACCTAATAATGACAAATGCAGTTAACACACAATAAATGAGATTTTTTTCCAAAGCTGTATAACATATAGCTCTAATTGCTAACCCCATTCATAACTCTCGGTCAAAGGACACACAGATAAGAGCAACTCAAAAACAAACGTGTGAGATAAAGAAAAGGATATAAGATAGTCCATGGAGGATGTCCGCCATTGATGTAGAGGACGTAGGTGAAACCATCTTTGAGCACTCCTCGTATCGAGTAATAGTACGGTAAATAGTGGTGCTGTTTAAAGTCTCTGTTCTCATAGAAGTGAATGGCAGTGTTATTAGTGGTGAGCACATGCAGGTAGATGGCTTTACAGTGGTCCTGCGCCGTGGTGGAGATGTGCTCCTTTAAACTGTCCAGCAACAGAGAGCCTGTGGGGAGAGGAAAAAGACAGAAGATTGACCTGTGTGTATACAGTTTAAGTTTTATGGGAGGAAGTATACTTCAAGGGAGGCTTCTTTTATGAATGTTGCATAACTACACATTTGTCACTTCTCACCTATTCCATGTTTGCGAAACTCCTTCACGACTCCTAAACTCAGGATGTACGCAACCTGAGTGTCAACAGGAAAGCTGGAGGCCAAAATGTCTCCATCCTGGTGGAGAGAAATATGTGCTGAGCTAGCAAAACACAATTCTCCACACAATTTAAATAACACAATAATAATAAAAATAACTTGAATTGGTTTTAATTAGTGATTTTAATTGGTTGTTCTATCATTCATAATATGGAAAGCCATTTTGAACGCTTTATTTTTAAGTGATTATATCTTGCGATTGTGATGTGTAATTGAAAAACAAATGAGGGGTGTTTTTTTTTTTAAAGAAAGTGTCTTATGCTCACCTAGGCTATATTTATTTGTTCGTAAATACAAAAATTCTAAGTATCATTCTAATTTAAAATAATAATTATCATATTTTAAATTATAATAGACTTATAAGATTATAATAAATAAGATTATAACAGACAAAGACTATTTTTTTAATCATTATTGTAATTTATTTCCAGTATTAAAGTGTTACTTCTGTTTACCTTTTTTATTTTTCCTTAATTCCAAAAAAAGAAACTTGATTTTTTTACATTTTTTTTTGTGCTAAATTATTTTTTTATTTCTATAATTGTTTAAGTTATTTTTTTATTATTATTTAAGGAGCTTTCATAGGATTTTATAGACTCGCTGCAAAAAAAATGCTATTCTTACTTTATTTTTGTCTTGTTTCTGGTCCAAATATCTACAAACTCTTAAATCAAAAAACATTTGAAGTAGTACAAGTAAAAACAAATTGTCTCCTCTTTAGAAATAACATATAAAAAACAAAGTTTTTCCTTAAAACAAGCAAAATAATCTGCCAACGGGGTAAGCCAAATAATAATGTTGTTTTCGCTTTGAAATAAGATTTCTTTGCTTACCCAATTGGCAGATTATTTTACTTGTTTTAAGAGAAAAACTGACTTCATTTTGAAATAGTATTTCTAAAAATAAGACAATATTTTTTATTTGTCTAAAAAATGTTTTTTAATTTAAGAATTTTTAGATATTTGCACTAGAAGCAAGACAAAAACTTTAAGTAAGAAAAACATTTTTGCAGTGTAATGGTGTTGTGAAATTAATGAATGTATAGTATACAGTGCTCAGCATAAATAAGTACACCCATCACAAATCTCTCTTTTTAATTCATATTTTTCATAGGAAGCTAAACAATATTATATTTGTGCAGATACATTATATTAGTCAGTACAGAAGCCAAATCCGGAGCTTATTTAACAAAATAACTTATGATATTGGTCCAAAAACTAGTAAACCCAAATTTATATGTTATAGAAAATTATTTTTTAATTTAATATAAAAAAATTGAAATGTAACATTTTGCTTAAATTTAATTGTATTATTTTCAATTTTAAATATCTTTGATGAATAAAATATAATTTTAATATATTTGTTTAATAAATCTGTTTTGTTTAAACGCACCAAAGTACATTGCCTATATTCACCTAGAAATGGATAACAATATTTTCAAAACGGGGTGTACTTTATTATGCTGAGCACTGTATAATTGTGATAACCATGAAACTATTATTATTCCTCAGACCATAATCATACCAACAAAATCTATTTTTATTGCATCCCTAACGGAGAAACATTTTGACCGTATTGCAAACACATTAACTGTACACACGCCCATAATCAAATTTACTATGCTAATCATTTATGTGACTAAATCGTTAATTAAAAGTGAACTTTATTTATTTCTAAATTGCATACTAAATATGCAGTAATGAAAAGCAGGAGGCATAACTACCTTGAAAAGGCAGAATCCTCTCTAATGAAGGTCAAATCTTTTGCTACGTGCAGAAATGTAGCCTGTAACCCAATTAATCATCTGCTATAAAAAGGCTTTGGATATGTCAGATGATCTTAATTATGACCCTTTACATCAAAGCTTCTGGAGAACTATTCTTCATGCATGGCCAAAGTCATGTATTACTTATCCATACATTTATTATTTAAAGCAAAAAACCCTGCAAATAACCTTCTTTCACTATTTATTTTCACATTTCATGCATAGAAAAGATGAACTTGCAATTCAGGAATAACTTTCTAATTTTGTGTTGAGAGGTTTGAATAAGGTGCGCTTTTTTTTAAAATAATAAAAAAAAAAAATTAATAAAAAAAAAAATAAATAAAAAAAAATAATTATATATATATATATATATATATATATATATATATATATATATATATATATATATATAGACAATAAAAAAAATAGATATGCTTTTTTATTACATGACATTTTTTTTTCCATCAAGGATGCACTTTTATTTTATTTTAATTATTTATCAAAAATCCATAAAAAATGTATCATTTTCAATAAACACATTAAAAAGCACTGTTTTCAACATTTATAATAAGACCATTTATTATTCCTAACATTCTATGCATATCTTGTGCAAATGTATCTATAGGCATGCTAAAATTCTAAGTGTTTTATTATGTCTATTATAGATTTAAATTATATGCTCATTCATTTTCCTCATTGTGTTATTTTTTAATACACCTAGTCATACCTCTTTGTGTACTTTCGTTCTGCTTTTTATTTCAGCCACAATCATCCCCACAATTCCACCTCTGAAGGTGGCAGCCAGACTGAAGAACTTCTTATTTGATGTGATGTCATGGTACCATGAGTCTGGATACCTAAAACACAAACAAAACAATTAGTGGGCGTCTTAGTAACTATATGGTTTCCATTCTATGTCCAAAAGGAAATTATCAATAGTAAAACAAATGATTTTTTGAGAAGCGCTTCTCGTTATATTATACTCGCATGGCAATTTAAATAAAATGTATATCCACCTCAATTTAGTGCACAATTGTTGTGTGCATTTTAATTCTTAGACACTGCAAAAAAAGCAACATATTTTATAGATTTTTTGGGGATGTCACTAAAAAATGCTTTATGGAAATTCTAAGATATGCAAACACTGCAAAAAAAATGCTTTTCTTATTTAGATTTTGTCTTGTTTCTAGCTCAGATATTAACACTAACAATTTTTAAATCAAGCAGCATTTTCTAGACAAGTGAAAAATTAATTTATTTTCAGAAAGTGTCCAAATTATGTCAGTTTTTCCTTAAAACTAGCTACATAATCTGCCAATGGGAATTAATCTAGTATTCGCTTTGCAAATATAATTATTTAGATCAGCCCATTTGCAGAGTATTGGAAAAATCCACTTCATTTTTGACATCTTATTTCTAAAAACAAGACAATATTTTTACTTGTCTTGCTTGATTTAGGATTTCTTTTGATATTTGGACCAGAAACAAGACAAAAACTCTTTTTTTGTAGTGCACACCTTAGCATTTCCATAAAGCGTTTTTAGTGATATCCCCCCCAAAATCTATGCATGAAATAAGTAGTGTAGTGCTTGGTGTGTATAAAAAGTAATTGTTTAATTCAGGGTTTCCGTACTCACTCAATGGAGGATCACTCTCCACAGAGCACTTTAATTCTGTCTATGTCATCATAGTAGAGCAGGCAGATTATTTTGCTTGATTTAAGGAAAAATGTACCTAATTTTGACATTTTATTTATAAAAATTGCCAATATTTTACTTGTATAGAAAACACTGCTTGAATTAGGATTTATTTGTGTGTGTGTGTGTGTGTGTGTGTGTGTGTGTGTGTGTGTGTGTGTGTGTGTATATATATATATATATATATATATATATATATATATATATATATATATATATATATATATATATATATATATATATATATATTTATTTTCATTTAGACCCGAAACAAGACAAAAACTCTAAATAAGAAACGCTTTTTGTAGTGTATGCACATCTTAGCATTTCCATAAAGCATTTTTGGTGGTATCCCACCAAAAAAACTATGCATAATATAAGTAGTGTAGTACTTGGTGTGGAATGAGGATAAAAAGAAATTGTTTGATTTAGAGTTTCAGTACTCACTCAATGGGGAACCACTCTCCACAGAGCACTTTAATTCTGTCTATGTCATCGTGGCAGAGCAGGCGAAGCTGTATTTCACTGAGGGCGGTGGTAGGCACCACGTCGGTCATTCACACCTGAGAAAAAAAACAAAATAGGAAGAGCAATTCAGAAGTTTAAAACAAGTTAAGCAACAAGCTCTCACTTTGAAAACCATTATTTTGATTGGACACTCCATTATATGTTAAAAGTAGGGCTGGGTAATATGGCAAAAACGCAATCTTGATAATTATTTTCCATATTGAATGATAACGATATAAATTTTGATGTAAGTTGTTAATGCTTCCAGATTTAAAAGAGCACCCCAACAATGACTGAACACACAAAAATTTAAGGTCTATTAAATGGCATAATTTTGGCCGATACATTTTTGGTGGCAAACAATTTCATATATCTTTATTTTCAACACACTTTTAGATTCCCATTGTTGCCCATTTCTGCTGTGTGATTAGCTCTGACTCTCAATATAAAGTAAAAAAGTTTAGTTAAAAGATTAAATGGCTTGGGAAATGGTGGTATGTTGGAAAATTACTTCCTAAAAAGATTATAGCTGCTTGTTTTAGTACCTCACTATAAACTAAGAAGTTTTTTCCCGGATGAAATTTGATACGTATTAACATGTTTCTTCTAGTTATCTGTCAACTCAAATGTTGCCATTTGGAAAGAAAAACAAAAACAGGATGTCCATGTAAACAGAAAGACATTCTGCCATAATAAAAAAGCAAAGAATATTGTGACTACCAAACTCTTATTATGTATTTTTATTAAGTCTTATGCGAGTGAAAAGATGAATCCGTTACAAATAACTCATTGTTATCAAATAAAACTTGAAAAACAGAAAATACATTGCAAAGCATTGCTGAGCAATTGTATAACGTTACACCTAACGTTACAATAAAGCCAAAACAGATAGACAGCAACCTTCTAATACCAAAAGCTAGCAGCTAGTCAGCACTAATATGTTTCTAAACGTAATATCATGCATTTGTAAGACACCTAAAGGTATAATTACCATATAAAAGACTATAATATCGTGATCTGGGAATTTAGTCTACTTATATAATCAACCTGTCAGTCGCTTTTCCCTGATTTGTTTACATGCTAACCGCTAAGTGCAGAAATGATTAGCAGGGATTCGAAATGATTCCTAACCTGCCTAGTTTCACCGATAAACAGAAGGATGTGCAGTCGTTTCTTTTTATTGCCGTGGAGACAGTTCACTGCTGCGGTAGCATGGCGATAGTGTGTAAATTTGTGTCCGGGATAGAGATGACACATTCAGCCAGAGACTCCAACTGCGCTCTGTAAAGCATTAGCGTAGCCGTTAGCACTTCGACAACTCTGGGCAGACACTTCCGGTTCGGTCCGTTCCGAAAACAGCCGAACGCCACCGAAGTGCTTGTAATGCATGATAGGATTTTAGCTTTTAAAAGTCTTTGATTTTAAACACCTGAGCGCATGTAAATTCCAGTCTAATAATTTATATTAGACATATTTTGATTTATAAATTAATAAAACAACATCACTCAAAAACATGACATGTGCGCACAACTTGTGCATGCCCAGCTACACAAAAATCCAACGTTATGCACAAAATGGCATAAAATAGAAAAGATATAAACTCTAAATACACTTTTCACATAATATGAAATGCATAATAGTATATGTCTGGTATGTATTTTAAATAAACGGTCGACATATAAATTGCCTAAAGCATGCAGTGAAATATGTAGCCTATGTTAGAAGGTTATTGCATTCTGTGTTAGAATGTAATTTCATACGGGGTATACGATATATATACAGGGTATCACGGACTTTTAATATCAGTCAGCCAGCCTCAGGGCTTCCGGTCAATTCTCAAATATGGAAATAATTTTACCCCTCTATTTTCAATGGAGTTTTTTTTTTTTTTTTTGCCCTAGCCTGCTGTCTTTCATCTCTTTTGCGCTTTAACAACCAAACTGATGTTGTCTATTTAACTGATTTTATTTGAATTGCATTTACAACATCGAAGTTTTTCGAACATCGAACCGTATTAAATTGAAAATAGTTAAAGCTTTCACCGAAAGTTCATCATTGGCTGACACTGTGCATATAGCCCATTAAAATTAATTATACAGTAATTTGTTTAGACACCGATAAGCTTTTCAAGTAGCGCTTACACTGTAAAAATCCGAGAAGGCATTAATGTCACATGCGTGTGCCATAATTTATACAATTAAATAAATATATAACTTTTGTTCTTGGCCTCATATGGAAAGAACCTATAAGAGGATATATGCACATATATCTAACCTATATGCACATATATAATGTTATTTTATATTACATATATATGTATATATGCCACATATTGGCAAAATTGAGGTGCATAAATGTGCATATACAGGCTATATTGGTCTTCTGTATTGCTTCTTTATAAGCCCTATATGTACATACAATAAGATCTAACAAAAAATATATATATATGTATGTGCAAACACATGAAATTGGTATCACGTAATTGGCAAGTTATGGAACTTAACTATGGCAATAACAGTGAGAAGAGATGTAAAGCTGTCTACACGTTTTCCTGAAACATTTACAAGGTCAATTCTTTCTTGTATGAAGATACATGGTTTGTCGTTTTTTTTTTTCTGTTTTCCGTTTTTTGCCTTATTTTTGCTCTTGTACTATATTTTTTCTTGTTCTTTTTGATTGCTTTTAAGTAATTAAAAAATCTTAATTTCTTTTATGTTGTCTAGCAGCTATGGATTTTAATACTTTTACTAATATATAAGTAAACAAATAGATAAACATATAACTGTACATGTATAAATGCACACATATGTACATATACTATAGGAAAACGGCTAATTTTTTATATTTCACATGTATTAAAAACCTACATTAAAACCTATGTTAAAGCAAACATGTTTGTTTTTTTCCATGTGGGGCATCTCATTTTTATTGATATCCTGTCATACTGTGACCCCTATTATTAAAATGACTCCACTTTTCTTATTATGGGACTAGTCAACAGTGTATGAGACACAGAATAGCATAACATGAAATAGAAAAAGAATGTGTACTGTAAATACCATAAGCACCGTTTTCGCATGTCATCATTATTAAATGCCACACACATGTTGCGCCCTCTGTTGCCCTGAAGCGGTATTATTTTTTTGTAAATGTGAGGTCAGTTTTCAGGGGTCAAATCATACACAGTAAGTCAAATAACAGAACTGAAAACTAAACTGAAAGAGGAAAATGTTTAGAAGACCCCTACACACACAAACAAAAGCACATTTTAAATATGCCATTTATAAATCTTTACAAACAAACACATTGAAACAAGCGTGTAAAAATTGAGATTCTGGCTCTATTAGAGACACCGTAAAAAAAAAAAACACCTTTCATAATGAATTATATAAGCCAGCTTCAAATAAATATTTTCTAAATATTTCTCTCTTAGCACCTGTTTAAAGTTAGATTAGACTTTGTCTTATCGCCCACCTGTTAATTTCCCATGGAGAAAGTGAGCGAGAGGTTGGTGTCTTTCCACAGTAGTGGTAAATAAAAACTCTGCAGAATAAGTGATACTACTTTAATTCCCTGAGAGAGGGACTTGCTGAGAGGCAAATACAAAGGCGCTTTAGTGGTGCAAAAAAGGCTTTCCACCTGTTCTCACGACACACGAGAAAAACAGAACTCAACAGCAGGTACAGCCATCTTGTTTCATAGAAAGAAATACTAAAGAACCAGAAAAATATATTTATATTTAGATGGTAATATTTTAAGTCGTTAAGATTATCTGTGTGTGCAAATTTGTTGATTTGCACATCAAATGTTTTGACCATCTAATGCATGTCTGAATATGCTCTCTGTCTCTTCACAGCATGAAGTTTATAATTACTCTAGGTGTGCTCCTGGTCTCTGTCCACATTGGAAGCTCATTTCTGATTGGAGCATTTAACATCAAATCCTTTGGGAACTCAAAAGTGTCTAACGCCACTCTGCTTGACATCATTACCAAGGTGAGTGACCCCCATGGGTTTCTCTTAAGAATTATAACCATAAAAATTATAATAAAAAGATTGTCCACATGCATAACATGTAGTGTATTATTTTGTGTATTATTATAAGCATGTCATTTTTATCATCAGGTTTCTTAATGGTTTTTTATTGGTTGTTTCTATCATCCATACTATGCAATTTTTAACATTATCCTGGAATTTTACAGTTTCCCATCATTTCAAGCTTAAAAAAAAAAAAAAAAGAGTATTGCTCAGTAGTATAGAAAGTGGAAACAACTTTTTGTCTTTTGGGTGGGAAAAATCATAATATGAGTTGGCATGGGAGGATAATCGTTTCAAGGTATACCACGGTTTGGAAAAGGTTTTAAAACCTTTTACATTTTTTTTTTTTTTTAGGATTTATTTACGTTTCAGCAGAAAAAAAAATATCTAAAAATGCCATTTTAAATAGTAAAGAAATCAGTGTTTTTGAAACTAATAAAGACAGCAGAAGTCAATGATTCACTTGAATTATTTAGCCTGACATGTTATACATTATTATTATTATTATTATTATATTATACATCTTTCAAAAAATTAAATATATTGTTTTCAAAGGGAAAAAGGTTATTGTTTTATACCCAGATATTTAAAAAGAATATATTTTAGAGCAGTGATCTCAATACTGTGAAATCGTGATATTTTTATCCAAGGTTATCATACCGTCAGAATCTTATACTGGCCTATGCCTAATTATGAGATATAAACATACAATTTGCAGCAGAAGTCTGAATTCTGACCGAAATATATCTTGCAATTCTGATTTTCTTTACTCTCAGAATGCTGAGTATATCTAGTAATTCTTAGCCACATTTTTTTGTTAAAAACTAAACTATATTTTGAAATAGCAAGTTTTAATTCTCTCAGCTCTATTTATTAAAGCTTGCTATTCAAAAACACAGTTCAGTTTTGAAAAAATAAATAAATAAATCATCAATAAATTTTATACATTTCTAAATATTTCACAATTTTGGTTTATAAATTCAAAGTGTGACTAAGGTTACATTCTTAAAAATAAAGGTTATTAAAAGGTTCTTTGTTGCTGTAGATGGTTCTTTGAAGAACCTTTAACATCCATAAAACCTTTTCAACTCGCAAAAGGTTCTTTGTAGCCCCAAATGTTTCTTTGCACTTTAAAATAGTTCCACAGTAAATGACATTAGTATCATTTTACAGAATGTAACTGCTGGTTTGAAATGACATGAACGTTATGATAAATACAATTTTTTTGTGCGCACTGCACCTTTATTTTAATATGGTTAACATAGACATACAGAATAATATAACTATCAATTTCTGCCAAAATAATTTTTTTAAACTGCATTTGTTTTTCCAAATTAACGTTGTATAATTTGACACATGTATAAGACAAATTGTTTTGGCAATCCATATTTAATCTTTCTTTCAGGATTTTCTTTATTTACTGCATTTATGGGGTCATGAACCTTCTCATAGATGGTTCTACAAAAAGCCGAGCTGTTAAAAAAGGTTATTTGTAGTACCAATAAAGGTTCTTTACAGCACCAAAAAAAAGAAAGGTTCTTCAAGAAAACATTTGGTCAAAGGTTCTATGAAGATCCAAAAAAGGTTCTTTAATGGCATCGCTGTAAAACCACCTTATATTTCTAAGTATAGCAAAAGTAAGAATAGTATAGTAGAATAGCTATAATACTATTCTCACTCTTGCTATTCTAACCTTAGTCAGAGCTTTGAATTTATAAACCAAAATTTCTGAGGGAAAAAATAAATTGAGTGAAAATACAATTCTTACAATTCAGTTTTGTGTTTCAATTGTAAATCTTAGATCAGAATCTTCTCAGAATATGTTGGTTTTAGTGTCACAATTGCCTGTTTTATTTTTCATCTCATGGCAAAACACGATTCGATTAACATCTGTGTGTGTGTGTGTTTTTGTTAGGTGGTGCACCGGTATGACATCATACTCATTCAAGAAGTGCGAGACAGTGACCTCTCCGCAACATCTAAACTGATGGACAGTGTGAATGGGTAAGTTGACTTTAGTTACAGCATTTAAATGAACACATTTAAAATGTAAACAATTTACACAAATCACAATAATACTTTTTTCCATGTCAGAGGCTCCTCGCCGTATCAATATGATTACATTGCCAGTGAGCCATTGGGTAGGAACACATACAAAGAGAGATACCTCTTTGTTTACAGGTAGCATGTTGCTCATATATTACAGTATATCATTTGTGTACTTGTGGGTGGTATCAAATAAATGATAACTCTCAACAGGAGTGAGTCGGTGTCTGCCGTAAACAGTTTCCATTATGATGATGGATGTGAACCGTGTGGAACAGACACATTCAACAGAGAACCATTTGTGGTGATGTTCTCTTCTAAAACAGGCAGGTGGAGCTCGCAGAACATTGTTGCAGCAATGATAGATGGATGTATGGATGGATGCCGTCTTGGTCCATATTAAAGACTGAAACTGTGTACAGACATCAAACTAAACTGTATTATTCTCTGAAATTGAAGTTAGAAAACATTCAAAGTAATTTACCGCTCACATTGTGATGCTAAACAACATTCAGATCAGCCTATTTCAGCCTCTGCAACAAAAGTACATTACTGAAGAGAAAACTGAAAGAGAGAGACCACTAACACTTTTTTTTTTTCTAGCTGTCCGAGACTTTGCTCTCGTTCCTCAACACACATCCCCAGAAGTGGCTGTGCAGGAAATCGATGCTCTGCATGATGTCGTCTTGGACACTAGACAGCGTCTGAACACAAATGTAACTAGAACATAATGGACCAACTAGTCTGGTTAACACAGAACATTCAAACTGATTTACACTAAGTGGAGATCAAAATTACGTTCAATTTCCTAAATTTTGAGGCCACATATTAGTCCTATTTGCAGCTATTATAACAGGAGGAACAGAGCAGTTTTCATAAGCATGTATTCTGTATAATACAGTATAAATAATCAAAACGTTATATTTGATATCTGAGATATTGTTCACGATTAGAAAACTCTTTCAGATTTGTTCCAGGTATTGATCAACCTTGTGGTAATTTCTTTAATTACCAGCCTGATCTCACAAGAAAACACAATGTTATGCTAATTTTAGCCAATTCCTACAAATTAATATGGGCTATATGCACAACTGTGTTTTTCAGCCAATCGATGTTGTAATGTAGTTCAAATATAATCAGTTAAATAGACTTAAGCATCTGTTTGGTTGTTAAAGTGTAAAAAGAGACAACGTTTACACGCAGGCGGCGTCATTAGCAGCAAGCCAGACAGAAATTTCATTGAAAATACAGGGGGTAAAATTATTTTCAGATTTTAAAGACATGGCGCGGAAAAATATAATTTAATGCAGTGTTTCTTGTTTGGTCTAATACCCACTTTATATTGTATCTCAGCTAGGCAGTGATGATCACTTTTTTTTTTTTTTAAAGAAATCAGATCTTAAACATGGCGATTTTGTATGGGATGACAATTAACCAGAAGCCCAGGGTCTGGCTGACTGAAATTAACAGTCTGTGTGCATATACCCTATTTAATTTGTATGAATTTTTGAAAGGAGACCTCCTCCAAACCCCACCCCTAAACCCAACCATCATTAAAAGATGATTAAACCTTACTAAATGCTTGAATGAGATCATACAAATTTATTCGCATTAGTTACTAGATTACAATGTTATGTACACTAGTTACAAATTACAGCAAGTTTACTTGCTAGCAAAACATTTCAGTTTCACTGACTTTGGTTGAGCTTTTGTGCCTTTAACACAACCTACCCATGCTGAAAGCTCCCCCAATTGGACATCTTCAGGGCTGTATCAACATATACTTGCTCCAGAATGAGACTTAAAGGAATTTCAGCTAAAACAAGAGACGTTGGTAACTCCATATCTGTGGTTTCTAACATACAGCATCTTCACAGTGTCTCTAACTCAAATCCCCTTCAAAAGGCTGATTGTCTACAATAGCATGCACGAAAGGACAGGACAATATGGACAATCTCAATAGCTTTCCATTTCTATTTAGTTAAGCACTAAACAGGGTCAAGATCTGATATGGCATACAGTGTATCCACATTTAACAGAATTTGGTCAGCAAAATTGCATTTTGCAAACTCTCATCAGCAGAGAGAATCAAAAGGCTGATAATATACAATGTGATCTAGGTGACATTTTAATTTTGTTTCAGAACATCATGCTTTTGGGAGACTTCAATGCTGGCTGCAGGTATGTTTCCAATTCAGCTTGGGCCAATATCCGGCTCCGCACTGACCAGAGTTACACCTGGCTCATCCCAGACAGTGCGGACACCACCGTCACACACACAAACTGCCCTTATGACAGGTAGGAAACACATCACAAGCTATATAGTTGGATAAAATAAACAAGTGCCATGTAATGACCCATAAATTGTTTTGATAAAAGGATCGTGGCGACTCCTGACATGATGAGAGGAGTGGCTCCAGGATCAGCGCAGGTCTTTGACTTCATGGAGGCTCATGGATTGAGCCAGGACTGGGTAAGGAAAGGTTTAGCCTCATCATTTGAGGCATTAGTCTGTCGCGTTGTGTTTTTGTCTGTCTGAAGAATTCATGTCTCCTTCGCAGGCACTGGCAGTAAGCGATCACTTTCCAGTTGAGGTCAAGCTCATGTGAAATTCCTTTTCCATTTTCTTGCGGCAGATTTACAGTGAGTGACATGTAATGCTGAGATACACTTATTGAAAAATAAATCCTCTTTTAATAATTGTAAAAGAAACAAATTGTACAAATGATTATAATCACTGATGTGCTGCTGAAGAAACATGTACAACCCCAAGTGATTTCTAAATTTACTTGCATTTCATTGAAGATAATGATTTAATGCATGTTATTTAATGTGTTTAAACAAACATGTATTCCAATTTTGGTTCTTGCAACACATTTAAAAAAAGTTGGAACAATAAAGCATTTACCACTTTGTAATATTGTCATTCATAACACTTAAGAGATGTTTAGGGACTGAAGACACCAAGTGAAGTGTTTCAGACGTAATTTTGTCCCATTGTTCCTGCAAACATGTCTTAAGGTGGACAACAGTAAAAGGTCTTTGTTGTCGCATTTTGTGCTTCAATATGCACCACACATTCTCTATTAAACACAGGTCGGGTCTGCAGACAGGCCAGTCAAGTATCCGTATCCTCTTCCTTCGCAGCCAGGACTTTCTAATGTGTGCAGATTGTGGTTTTTTATTGTCTTGTTGAAATATGCATGGGTGTGCCTAAAAAAAATAAAGGGAGCACATTGTGCTCCAAAGTCACAGACACAACCACATACCATGATAGACCCTGACTTTTGAACTTGTTGCATGGTAACATTCTGGATGATCCTTTTCTTTGGTTCGGAGCACACAGCTTCCATTTCCTCCCATAAAATACCTTAAATACTGATTCATACGACCACATGTTTTCACTGTCATGCACCATCCCAGATGCTTCTAAGCCCAGAGAAGTTGAGCACTGAACACTGTTAACATAGGGCTTCTTTTTGGCACAGTAAAATTTTACCTGGAATATTTTTGTGGTCATATTGTCCGAAATTAAATACAATTTAAAATAAATCTGTAAATTACTACTTTCTTTTTTATTTGCATTTTTCCATACTGTCTCAACCTTTTCTGATTTGGGGTTGTATTATTAATATTATTGCGTTTTTTTGATAAACAGAAATTTTAAAAGAATAGCACTTTCAAAAACCAAATACATTTGCAACATTATGCACTACTGTTTAAAAGTCTGATGTTATTAGGAGTAAAAAACAATACTAAAATAAAATAATGATGCTAAAAATGCAGCTTTGACGTACCAGAAATGAACTGCATTTTAAAGCATTCCACAATCAGAAAGTAATTTAAACTTCATCTAAAAATGCAATATTATCATTACTGATAACTTTGGACTTGTGTTTAGATTAAATAGACAATCAAGGTGAATCAAGAGACTTCTTTTAAAAACATTTAACAAATTTAATGTAAGTGAATGTCGTTAAAAAACAATTTGCACATTTTTAGTAATATGTGTTCAGTACTTCAGCAATTAATTTAAACTATATAAAATACACAATTTTATTCTATTTTAAATTAAGTAGTTATGGCAAGTACAGTAAACGGTTGTAAAAATGTAAAAAGAATGATAAACAGTTAATTAAACTAACACACACTCACACACAATTCAAGTTTAATCTAAGATCTTGTTGTGTAATTTAAAATTCAAAGACAATGATCCATTTTTTGTTTTAAAAGTTTTTATTTACAGTACAAACAAATAAAGTAATCCTCCAGCAACAAACAAAAAGGATAATGTGTTATCCATTGACGCTCCTATACTACATATAAGGCAACATCAACAACAGGCACATGTTCAGGTCCTTAGGACTTCTTCTTCTTCAGCATCGCCATGTACATGCCAAGAGATTTCTGGATGGAGTCTTTGGTGATGAAACTGACAAAGTTTGTGGTGTCGGCTTCTCTATTTGCAAGAAGTTTGTCTACTGTGGGTTTTCTCATCATAGACTTGCTTATCTGACGAGCGTGATCTGTGTGTAATAACAAAACAATGTACATAATCAACATATAGTAACTATAGCTGGAATAAATAAACGTTTTGGAGAAAGTTATTACTGTGTACCTGGAATGGCCAACCATTTAGTCATGGTCTCAGCTGCCGTGCTGAGAACTTTATCCTCAGGAACAAGCTCATCCACCAGACCAATCTTCAGGGCGTTTGGAGTATTGTACAGTAAACCCAGCTGAAGACCCTTCTCAGTTTCTCTATGGCCCACAACGTTTAACATGGTGTCCTTAAACCTAATTCACAAAATCTCTTTAGTACCTTCCCTTTGTACCATCTTCATTTGATCCTTAATGGACGTGTCAGTCCTAAATTTAAAGCAGAGTTCAGACTACATGATTTCAGCCCCAATTTTGACTCTCCAACAAATGCCTGAAATCACAGGCAAATTGGTGCCCGTTCACTTGTGTTTCAATCAAAGATTATGAGTATGAACTATCAAAGATGTGATCTGAGAGAATTGCTGATGAGTTGCTGATGCCCGTCAGATATTTGGCACGCTAAATATCTGGACCTGTCGGTGAGTCAAATCCTGTGTGAAAATAACATTGGCAATAACCTACAGCCAATGAGAGAGCAGCATCCACTAGTATGGGTATCTGCAGGCCAGCAGGAGGTTGAGGGAGAAGTTAAAAGGGTTTATTTTCAGCTTATTTGGACCCAAGAAATGGAGGAAAGACTCCCCTCCAACATGAAGAGCACCCATGCTGTTCGATGCATCATCTGAGCAATATCACAACCGGGTCGAAAAAGAAAAACTTGAGGAAAAATTGTTAATTTCCTTCAAAAGTCAGGTGAACAAATAAGTACATTTTCTACCCCAATAAAGGCTTCTATATGTAGTTAATAACAAAAGATATACTACGTCACTTTGCATTGTTTCCATGACACTTCTCGCATGCATTTGGCTGTGAGACGTAGTTTGGACAAAGATGTCGGTGGTTCTTTCCATTTTAAAGTCTTGCAGTGTGAAACCCTCTGTCACCCATCTATTTTGCAGTGTAAACACATCACCGACAGAATGCTACCCCAGATAGTCAGGCAGTGTGACACAACTACTTTAAAAATCATGCAGTCTGAATTAGGCATGAGAGTCCTAAACTTTTGCTCTAAGGCCCCGTTTACACTAATGCGTTTTAGTTTGAAAACGCATAAGTTTTGCTACGGTTACGCCATCCGTCCACACTACGCCGGAGTTCTCGAGCGCCGAAAACGGAGCGTTTCGAAAACGCTGGAGAGGCCGTTTTCATTCTGAAACGCAGCTGCTCCGTCTCAGTGTGGATGATGGAAAACGGAGACATTTGAAAACGGAGGCGGGGCTGCAGACATTCGCCTCTCTGATTGGGGCTTTTCCTGAATATTAAGTAGCCTAACACGCACAGTTCAGTCCTGCATCTTCTCCGTGTAAGTTAAAACTTCGCAAGTTTGATCATGGCTGCAGTCTCTTCTTCTCAGTTTGATATGGAAAACAGACTATACCGAGGACACGGGTAAATCTTCAAAGGGAACAGTGTACTTTATAACTTCATTCACATCACCCTGGCTACGTTGTTTTACTTTCTCAACAATAAAATGTAAACATGATATAAGGAACTGCCTATTTTCATTTTAATATTAACAACTAAACAGACAGCAAAAATGTTGAGGCGCCGTGCTGCAAATATGAGCGTCATCTTCACTGTGTGCATATTTATAACAAAACGGAGCCTACAACAACTGCCTCCTTTCAATTTCAGTGAAAATACGAAACACACCCTCTCTTTGCTGAATATCAGTTTTAATCGATAATGGCCATTATAAAAGTATAACATACAATAAGTTTATACATTATAGGAAATAAAGGCAAGCGATCAGTCAATATACAGAATGTACGTGCTTACATTAATCATTAACTTATCTTTGCGCTTAGCCAAAACACGTTACCTGAGAACAAGTAATAGATTCCAATGTCCAATGAATATGTCGTTAAATAAAGACAACAAGATGAAAGAAATATTCCGTTTAATAAATATAGTGAGGTTAGATCCAGCGGGAGATGCTTGATGAGAAGTCCGACTAGCACAGCTCTCATCTGGGTAGATTGGCTACAGCGCTTGCCTGAGAGTGTGTGTGTGGTCACGTGATGTGCGTTTTCAGCGTTTTGGTGTGGACGGAGAGCAGTTCAGAAACGCTGGGTGAAACGCGAGTGTGGACGCGGATCGTTTTCATTCTAAAACGCCGTTTTAAAACTAAACCGCACTAGTGTAAACGGGGCCTAAGAGTATTTCACAAAGAATTTTAGAGCTAAAACTAACTTTTAAATAAGTGAAACTGATTAGAAGTAATAAAAAGGTCACTTGAACATTATTTTGACCATAATGAGTTTTCAACAAGTTATTCAATTGTAGAGGTATTCCCATTTGGTAAGAGATAGGTTTTCATATATTCATATATTTATATTTACATTTATTTCAACATACACATAAATATATTTATTCAAATAATTGTTTAATTACTACAAATGTGGCCATGTTAATGTGTTTTTCTAAATATATACATGTAAATATATATTTATAAATGTAAAATATGAAAGAAAAAAACGTAGTGGAGCATATAATGTTGAAGATGTCTATAACATTCAAAAGCAAATAACATGTGTTTTTAGGATGCAATTCCTTTCTTAGCCTGCATTTTAAAATCTTTGATTATAGCAAACACACTATTGTACTCTATAGAGTTTTTATTAATAAATCTCTGTCAGAGACCCCTCGTCTCTCTATCCACCAATCTCTCTGTGTATAGTTAGTAGTCATGCTAACATCCTCCATAACAACAAGGTCAACCCTGCATTTACTCTTAATCTAAGACTTCTCTCTAGTTTGTCTCAGCATCTTCATGAACTGGTTTTAAGAGAAAAATCTTGGCTAACGATTTACTGATACTTAGGAAAACTCTAAGTGGAAAATAAAATGTTTTGTGAAAATGTGCACAGATCTCTAGATCAAATAAAAGGTCTCTCTACATCAGGGGTGCTCAATCCTGTTCCTGGAGATCTACCTTCCTGCAGATTTCAGTTGCTACCCATATCAAACACACCTGCTTGTAATTATCAAGTGGTGTTCAGGTCCTAATTAATTGGTTCAGGTGTGTTTGATATGGGTAGCAACTGAAATCTGCAGGAAGGTAGATCTCCAGGAACAGGATTGAGCACCCCTGATCTACATGTTCATACTAAATTATATTACACAAGAACTCTAGTATAATAAGCTTTTACATGCCAATTTTATACTTATTGATGGCACTCTGAACATATGACAAGGTATGAAGTCCTTTACATTTTACGAACATACATTCAAGCCTCTATTTATGAGATGAAAATTCAGTTTGGTTTTTGACTGATTTATGAGCTTACCATCAATCCAATTACTAAAATTTAATTTGGGTAAGTATGGCTTATACTTAATTGTGAAAATTAATGATACTCACCAAAAGGGTGCAACTATGCCAAGTTGTGTTTCATTGAGACCAATGCTATAGCGAGGGTTATCAGCCATGATCCTGTAGTCACAACACATGGCCAACAAACAGCCACCAGCAGGACTGTTACCCTAAAAATTAAAATAATTCATTCACAAATTAAATTTCTGTATTGTGCTTTTTTTTAATCACACTTCAAATCTTCACATTGTGCATATTGTTAGGCTAATTTTCAGTGCCATTATATTCCTTTCACGCTTGTCAACCAGAAATGATTTCTGAAACAGTTAAATCAAATGCAGTCACCAAGGAGTACCCTTTAAAATACTCTCTGTGGCTGTTTTTTTTTTATTATAAGACATAAAATTCAGCTTTTTTATCAGTGAAAGTCAGGAAATTTGAAATTGGGCTTAAAGTAGGAACCCATTTTTAAAAATAATTTACCATTTGTAAAATGTCAATAGTATTTGCAATATTGTAACAAATCAATCAACTTCGGAACTTAGAATGAAATTAGGAATCAAAACAAAGCTGAATCAAAACATAGCCCAAATGTGTTATAATACAGCTGTACACAACAGTACACAAAACAAGAGTACACAGCTACTCACATTGATAGCAGCGATGGTGACCTTAGAGGACCCATAAAGCTTCAGCCATGCCTCCTGGACGGCCTTCCAGAATTCAGCGCAGTGCTCTGGACTCTTTTGATACATTTCCAAAATATCAAGGCCTGCAGAAAACACCTTTGGCTGAGCCTGTAACAAAAAAATAGCACGGTCAACAAAACAGACATACAAGCTTAAACTAGATTTACCCAAACAATATGTTATGGCCAACTTACAGATGTTATGATCACACCCCTGCAGCTTCTGTCCAGCTCAAGTTTTTCCAAATTAATAGCAAACTCAGTCAAAAAGTCGAGACTGAGACTGTTGACTGGAGGACTTTGGAACTGCAGTACAGCAACGCCTGTGAGAGATTACATTACTATGACTATCGGTTTTTGATAATTGTGTGTAGTTGTAGAGTAAAAACATAATTCATGCACATGTTGTTTTAAAGAGCCCCTATTATAAGTTTTTTGAAAAATACCTTGCATGTAGTGTGTAACACAGGTCTAAGTGAAAGTGCACTGTGTTCGAAAACAATTGATTCTTAAATGAAGGAGTCGACTCAGAGTAAAATAAATGATTCGTCTTGTGTTCGGATCTTTTGCCGTCTGGCATTGACATCGAAGTCATCGCCAAATATGAAGTGCTAGATCTGGTAAAACGTGATCGCTCCTTTCCCTTCAGACACTGGCGGAGTGTGAGGGATTATAAGATTAATCATAATGCGAAGATTACAATCACTGAGATGACGAGAGATGCGGCTGTGGTAAATAAACAGTTAAACTTAATTTAATACTTAATTTATGTGCTGTGTTTGTTCCTGTCATTTTTCTGATGATTGATACAATAACCTATGCTGCAACGTGGGATTGACCTGTCGTTTATTATTAAAGGTAGGACCAGCAAAGAATACTAATGTATTTGACTTTGTCAGACCTAGACAGGACCTTTGGTCACTTACTGTTACAGTTCATTTAAACCAGTTTCTTCTTGCGCCGGATCACAAACTGTAAGTGCAGAAATCAATGCTAAGGATTTTTTCTACTGGCCCGATTGGGCCAGCAGTAAAGATTTTTACTTGCCCTGCCAATATTTTCACTGGCCCCACCAAAATAAATAAATTTATTAAAAATAGGAAAAAGTTAATAGCTATTTCTTAGCCACGTTCAAAATATTGTGTCAAAAATGTTTTGAATTAGAATTTAAAAAAATGTTAATAAATGTATATGAGCAAACCGTTGCGTTGTACCCACGTGAATGTCTGCTTCCAAGACTTCCTTTTAGCCTCATAATTTGATGTTGACGTCACTTCGCTGTACTGGTTTTTTCCAAGTTACAAAAAAACAAAATGCTCACAACATCCAATCAGATAAGAGGAACCAAAACGGTTTCTTGATTCTAAGACTGTATTCATACACAATTGACAAATAGTCACAAGCAAATTTAACTTTTGTGACAAGGCAGCACAGATCGGGCCAGTGACAATCCTGTCTACTGTCCCGAGTGCCTCGCATGCTGGCCCAGGGCCCTCGGGCAGTCCTTATTGTTGAGCCCTGAAGTGTGATTTAAATGGTTGCCCCCTTGTTTTCTGTAGTTTGCAAAATATGTATTTAATTGTGTTGTAACTTGTAATCGCTCCATGCTGCTTGTAATGCATCTCTCCAGGTTTATTGGAGCTATTCACATGTTGCCTCCAAAACCACATTGAAAATATGCCATGCTTCTTCCTTTACTGATTTAAATGCGTTTCTGTGCTCGATTCCCTGCTATTTGTCATTGCTTTAGCCATCATCAGCTTTTCTTACACACATGAGATGCGCTGATGCGGTAATTTTTCAAAGTAGTTCAACTTTTGCCACTGTGTGGATTAATACTGAATGTGTGTCATTATTACTTGGCATTGTGAATAAGAGTAGAGTAATATGCTGGTGTTTTTTTTTTTATTATTGCATTGGGCTTACACACTTACTCTATTCCGTCTTGCACTGAACACAGTCAACCCATCACAACAGACTGGGTCATCGAACAAATGACCACAGATTAGCATCATGTTAAGGAAAGGTTTGGGAACAAATCATTTGGGAGTCGTTGGGATAATTAGATAAAAATAAATAAATATTATAAGAAAGTGTTTTTTTGACCTTGCATGCATATCAGCCTGTTGTTGGAGACTCCCAAAACCAAAATATGACCTTTTATAATGCATAATAGGGGCTCTTTAAATGCACAGTTTACCAAAAAATGTACTGTCTTTACTAAGTCTCAAGAGGTTCCAAACCACTTTATTAGTTTATTTTATTTTCTGTCGAACGCAACAGAAGATATTTTGAACACAGCTAAAATCCTGGAACCATTAACATCCATAGTTGGGCAATCAAATACTTTGGTTTCCAGCTTTATTTAAAATATCATATTTTGTATTTAACAGTAAAAAGAATTGTCAAACAGGTTTTTAACAAGAGAAAGACGAGTAAATGATGACAGAATGTTCAGTTTTGGTTGTTACCCCTTTAATCTTACCGTTACTACTGTCCAGGTCCACTTTAATCTTGGAAGATGTTGAATAATCGTTTTTTGACACAAGATACCGAAGAGCACAACTTCTACCATGACTGCTGTTTCCAGAGAGCAGTGATAGAAATCCTGCAAGAGAAAGCTTACATTTTAAATGCAAAACTAAAGGTCCTGATTTATTTGACTTTGTACTCATCTGTAAACATGGAATGTTACTCTAATACTAAAGCTGTGCCCTAAGAAGAGGACGTGGCTTTAACACAAAACACAAAGATGAAAGAAAACACACAACATAATTTTTGTGTCATGTGTCGACTGTGTTTCTTTTCTACATCCTATCTTTCATAAACATTACAGGAGGTTGACAACTGCTTTGTGCTGCTCTGACCTTTGTCCCAATTTCTCAATGCATTACAGCATGCACTTAAGTCAGAACATGCACTTAAGTCAGAACATTGTCGCTGCACAATACAATCCAGCTAAAGTTTAATAACGGACGAAAAACACCTACCAGGATGGGTGAACTTGGTGCAGCCCCTTAAAACCGACATTTCGAAAGCTGCAGATATATCGCTGTTGCTAAATGCAAACTTTCGTTCTGCGTCTGTGTGCGCGTGTTGCCAGATCTTAAAAGAAAAATCGCTTATCTGTACCATCAAATTGTTTTTTAAAATGAGTCTTTCAACAAAATGAGATAATATTTACATCTGGAATCTTTATTACAAATAATCTAAGCAATATTTATGAATAAAAGATGAGAAATGCTTGGCTTAAAGTGATAAAAACACTATTTAAAGAGGACATGGCAACACAGTGACGTAGAAACAGTAACATCGTGTGGCTGGTGAGTATGTCAATCAACGAGACAGCCAATAAGCAAATACGTATGTGAGGCAGTTTATTATGATTGGGCATTTTCGTCGTGAAAGGTGGTAATTCATTTATTTTATTTCCGGCTTAGTCCCCCCTATTTTTCCGGGGTCACCACAGCGTGATGTACCGCCAACTTATCCTGCACGTATCCCCACAGTCCAAAGACTTGCAGTATAGGTGAATTGGGTAACCTTAATTGTCCGTAGTGTACGATTGTGAATGAGAGTGTATGTTTAGTATATGTTTCCCAGAGTTGGGTTGCAGCTGGAAGGGCTCTGCATAAAACATATGTTAGATAAGTTGGCGATTCATTCTGCTGTGGTACCACTGATTAATAAAGCGACTAAGCTGAAAAGAAAATGGATTAATAAATAATTTTGGGTGAACTGGTTTTTGGACTGTTATCATTATTTATTTTGTTAGATAAGCTCCAAATTTGGCTGCAGTACTGACTAATGTCTTTGCACAAGTATAATATTGTATAGCTTCCAATTAAAATATGAATTTAGAAGAGAGATTTGTGAGGGAGTACTTATATGCTGAGCACTATAGCTCTTTTGAAGCTTTTTTTTATGGCTTTAACCCCAGTAGCTACTCCCTTTCGCCCTAAAACATTTAAAACCAAATATACCAATAAGGACAGGCCAAACTTTATTAAAAATACAAGATGAAAAGGTTTGACACTTCAGAAGCGATAGAATATTTTTTAAGCAAACGAATAAGAAAAAAAACTGACTAAATCTCACATTACTGCTTACTGCAGTGTCCATTACATCCAAAATGAAACCCCCCAAATAACATTTCTACCACCATGCAATAGCTACAGACTTCACTAATGATAGCATCCATTTATGAAAACAGACAACATGAATTTGAGAAAATATACATCATATGTGATGTGGGATTTCGTCAAATACATCATACAATCATATTTTGACCATGGAGTCACACAGTTATCAAAAATGACAATACACAAAAAAAGCTCTCAGCTAGTCTTTTGTGTGCTCTCTCTTGTTTGTTTGCCTATTGCTAACTAGCTCATAGCTTAACTAGCTAACTTAGCATTTGCACTCTCAGAAAGGCATTTCACATGCAAGTTAAAAAATTTTCAATGGAACTCTGAAACATTGTCTAATATTCCTGAATATGATAGCAAAGTAAAGATCCATTCAAAAGAAACCAAGATAATATGAACGTGTGAGATAAAACATGAGTGATGGAGATGGAAGTGTCAGGAAACAAGCATCAGCGGGCACATAAACAATAAAATGTATTTATTTTGGAATGACAAATGAAAAATATCTAAGACAATCTAAAATCAGATCTAGATGGAGAAACACGGAAGACAGTTACAGACACCTGGACAGATCTTAAAGGCAAAGTTCTCCCAAAAATGACAATTAACTCACCGCATGCTTGCGCTCTGTTGTCGACATGCTTAGCGCAAAAGGGTAATAATGTTGTAAATAGTGCTCAGTTTCTTGCATTAACGGATTGTTGTGCCTCATTTAACTTCAATGTACTGACAAGAGCCACATGTATTCATTTTGTTTTGACGGTATATGTTTAAATTTACTCTCAAAGTACCAGTAGCCATTAAGTTGCATTTAGACTCACTGAGGGGCATCGTTTCAAGCTAAAAATCTTCTTTAAATGGATAGTTCACACAAATTGAAAATGTATTGTTATTGTTTAGTCTCAGTCAAGTAGTTCTTAACCTGTTTAAGTTTCTCTTTTACTTTTTAACACAAAAATATATATTTTAAAGAATGTTAAAACTGGTAACTATTGACTTACATAATAAAAAAACAAATATTTCCAACATTTTTTAAAGTATCTTATTTTGTGTTTAACAGAAAAAGGGAACTCAAATGAGTTTGTTGGATGTAAACAATGAGTAAATATTCAGTTCTGGGTGAACTGTCCCTTTAAAGTCCTACTGATGGGAAAATAATCACATTTTGGGTGATTAAACCCAAAATGGGTTGAGCAAACCATTAGATTTTCATTTTTGGGTAAACTATCGCTTTAAACTCTTTCAAGGAATGACAAGGGTGCTTGACTATGGGCTTTCCAGCTGAAAAGACCAGCAGATCACCAGATTTTTATTTATTTATTTTTTTTTACAAATCTGTTATCAGCAAGTTAGTGAAAAATGCTGCTTGAGCAGCTTATAAACAGCCGCTAGTATTAGCTGGTCTTTTTCGAATGGGTTTAATGTTAAGAAATACCTAATGGACAAGCAACACTTAGTACAAACCACGTCCAACACATGAATTACTCAGGAAACAGCAGGCTGATTACGTCATCAATAAAAGAAACGAGCCAATGCGGACACGATGGCTTCACATTCACACATGCACTGATCTGACTCTTGATGAACTCAAAATGCATCGCAAGAATACATACACAGTGATATTTACATTTACAGTATACACCAACCTGAGCGTACAGGCAGGAGGAATTTCATTTGTTGGTTATCGAAGGGACAGTTGACTCCCAAAAATAGAAAATTTACTCACCCTCAAGTAATTCCAAACCTTTATGAGTTTCTTTTTTCTTCTGTTGAACATGAAAGAAGATATTTTAAAGAATGTTGGAAATGGGTAACCATTGACTTCAATAGTATTTGTGTTTTCTACTGGAAGTCAATGGTAACAGGTTTCCAACATATTTCCAAATAACTTCTTTCGAGTTCATCAGAACTCTGATACAAAAGGAAGGTGAGTAAATAATGACAGATGTTTTTCAGTTTTTGGGGTGAACTATCCCTTTAAGTACTAAGTCGCCTCTAATACCCTGCCAGTCACTGTACAGTATGTCCTCAATGTTGATTACAACTAATATGTAAGAATATCTTTATTTTTTTTTCCATTTTTTAATATATATTTGACTAATTATATAACCATAAGCAAAGCCGACTCCAGCTGCACATCTAGCTAGCCTAAGTCTGTTTGAAACATCAGTGGTGTCACTGTAGATCTGGGAGAGACTTAGAAGGGTCTTTCCTCTGGGCCGTCCCAGTCTTTTTTGATCAGCAGGTTCCAATCCCATGACAGGTGGTCTGTCTTGTCGTCGTCTGTGAAGAAGGATTTGATATGGTAGGTTCCCCGGACAATCATGCCTTTTGGGGCCTCCTCCACAGGGGTCATAAACTCATGCTCCTCGGCTCTCGGACCGTAGCTGCCTACCATATAGACCGCCTTATCCACTAAAGAGGAACAAAAAAACAACAATGATTTGAAGATACTTTTTAGGTATTCTGTTTATTATGAGACACTACATATACTATATACAGTTAAAGAATTATTAGCCCCCCTGAATTATTAGCTCCCCTGTTTATTTCTCCCCCCAATTTCTGTTTAACGGTGAGATGATTTCTTCAACACATTTATAAACATAATAGTTTTAATAACTTCTCTAATAACTGATTTATTTTATCTTTACCATGATGACAGTGAATAATATTTTACTAGATATTTTTCAAACAGCTTAAAGTGACATTTAAAGGCTTTACTAGGTTAATTAGGTTAACTGGTCAGGTTAGGGTAATTAGGCAAGTTATTGTATAACCATAGTTTGTTCTGTAGACTATCGAAAAATATATAGCTTAAAGGGGCTAACAATTTTGACCTTAAAATAGTTTTTATAAAAAATAAAAACTGTTTTTATTCTTGCTGAAATAAAAAATAAGATTTTATTTAGAATAAAAATATTATCAGACACACTGTGAAAATTTCTTTGCTCTGTTAAACATCATTTGGGAAATAATTAAAAAAGAAAAAAAGCATATTCAAAGGGGGCTAATAATTCTGACTTCAACTGACTTCAGTATATATATATATATATTACAATTAGGGTCATTATTTAATGCATTTACTAACATGAACTACATATGAACAATACTTGTACAGCATTTATTAATCCTAATTTAACATTTACTAATGCAACATTAACATCCAAGTTAATTTTTGTAACATTAGTTATTGCAACGTGAAATCAAAACATGAACTAACAACGAACAACTGTATTTTTTAATTTCAAGTAGCGTTAACTAACATGAACAAATACTGTAGTAAATGTATTGTTTATGTTATTAAATGCAATAACTAACATTAACTAATACAACCTTATTGAAAAGTGTTACCTAAATATCCTACACACACACACACACACACACATATATATATATATATATATGAATTTTTCTAATTATTTGTGATTTGTCTTATGCTACATAGATATATTGGCAATAACCAAAAAATACATTGTATGGGTCAAAATGATTTTTTATGCCTAAAAATCATTAAAAATTGAAGTAAAGATGTTTGTTAAAGTATGTTAAACGCAAGCATTGTGCTAATTTTCAACTGTTAAAATATGAAAATGGAATTTTTGATTAGTAATACGCACTGCTAAGGTCATTTGGAAACTTTATTCTTTACTATTCGGTCATAACAACCATACATCAATGGACAGCTTAATTTATTCAGTTTAAACATTTTTCTAAATTAAGGCTTTTTTATATGCTTATGATTATATTTAAAACATATATTTTTGTGGTCCAGGCTCACATTTATTGTATTATTGATCTATGCTCTAAAAAGTTTTTCACGTTATATAGTTCGTTTGTTTTAACCCAATATTGAGTGAAATACGGACAAGCTGGAATATTTTTTATGTTTAAATTAAATTACATTTTCAAACAAACTATTGGGTTTGACCATATTTGCCCCAACTTTGGGATAAAACAACCCAGCATTTTAGTGTACATTTGAAACAGCAAAAAGTTAATTTATTTGTCCAATTTATAATTTATTAATTTAATATTATGTCACTCTTTTAAATATAAATGTAAACAAACCCTTCAAACATTACATTTTTTCAGTTAAAATCCTTTATGAATGTAGTATTTATCATTGTAAATGTATTTTAAACATGAATTAATAAAAGATTTAGATATTAACAAGGTTTTATATTAACTTGATTCAAAATTAGGTGGTAGTGGTATCATGATTTTTTTTTCTACATAAAACAAACTCAATTTTCGTATTATTCCTATAATCTTACCAAGTAAAATTCTGATATTATTTTAAAAGAATAACATAAATGTAATTAAATTACATTTCCAGTGCATGAGCATCATTTGGGGTCTGTCGTGACTGCCTGTCTGTGTGTAATGTAGGTGGCTGGCCACCCTGTAATTCTCTATGCAAGAAAAACCCTTATTCATTCACTTTCGATTACAAATATAAATGTCTATAGTATTGTCTAATTCTGAGCATTCTTTGAAACATGAATAGCTTATCATTGTTTTTTTTTTTCAATTTTTGACAAAAATGAAAAAGAAGAAGTGGCATTACCTTTTTTCTTATCCTATTTTTTCAACAAACTTCCATTTTTTATACATATACCAAGATACAAAACATTGGTTAAAAATCAAATTCCTAATCCAAATGAACACTGATCTACATTTGGTAACATCTTGATTAAATAGTATTACAGCTGAACCACATGTTCCCATATAATAACAGAGTATTAATATAGATATTTATAATACTACATTATATTATAATATACAGTATTTCTAGACTATAGGTCAAATATGCATTTAAAAAATGTATCAGTTGCCACTATGGTAACTGTATGATGTTGCTTCAGACACATTAAAACAGCACAAGTACACAAAGCTCTACATAAAGCCTTGACAGCAGAAGGAAAGCATCTCAATTCAGGACTAGATATGCACTCACATCTGAGTCCTTTCTTGTAGGTCTGATGCACATATTTCAGTCCAGACACGATGTCCCTGTTGACCTAATAACAACAGAAGGCATGCATTAGAATGAATAGTATACGTTTAACATGTCATTATCATTCACAAGACATTCAGCCTGTTGTAGCACCGAGTCGCCAGCAGAGGTCCTGACTGAGCATTGAAGGGACAGCTCAACCAAATTGAATGTTTACTCACTATTTACCCACCCTCATGTCATTGCAAACCTTTATGAGTTTATTTCTCTCTTAAAAACAAAACAAGTTAAAAACCAGTAGCCATAGATATCAGGACGTACAGGTTTTTAACATTCCTCAAACTATAATAGGTGTGTAGGTGTGTGTGTTCAACAGAAGGAAGAACCTCAAACAGGTTTGAACAAATGTGAAAAACAACTGTAAAAAAAAGTTCCTGCTGTCTTATTTTTTACACTATAATACCTGAATAATTTGTACAAATTTAAGTAGGTAGAACATAAAACTATTAAGTTGTCCCCAAAAAAGCTTAAAAATTGTGTTGTTTCAACTCATTTTAAATAAGTAGTTTAAACCTGTTAGCCAGCACCAACTTTTGGGGATTTACATCAACCTAAAATTAAATAGTAACAGTTCTTCACCCCAGTAAGCTATAAACATAAATTGTTATCATTGGAAAGAAAACACTTTGAGCTTTACTATGGTCCCTCTAGAAAGTTTCATGCTAAAAACATAAAAAGTTTTACATTACGAAGTAATAAGTAATGATAAAATAAAATTGTATTGTGTTCAATATTTGTTTTTTTCTAACACAAACACAGGAAAACATTAATGATCTACAAAAAATACACGTTGAAAGCCAAGTGTTTCATGAGTTTATATTTTAAATTTGATGAAGATAGCAAGCAAAATGAGATTTCAAAAAGTTTTTTGAGGCTATAGCGGTGTCCTTCTCTCCCTCACCGTCAGAGGCACTTTCTCAAAAATGACCTTCCCAAACTAAAACAGTAACAGTTGCTGAATAATTTGGTCTACATTCACAGTTCATGTATCTTTGGAGAGAAGACACTTTAGGCTTTACTATCCATCATCTATAGTTTATAATGCTCAAAACAAAAACAAAAAAATGCTTAAGTAATGTAAAAAAAACGTGCACCGCACGTATTTTTCAAACTAATTGATGAAATTAGTCCTGGAGCAATACAGAAAAATAATAGGTCAAAAGCTACTGAGTACATGTTTTGAATTCAACAGCAAAATCAAACAAAATAAAATTCCTGGAATTATTTTTCTGAGACAGTGTCTTGTGATTTTCTTCCTCTCCTTGCTTGTGGAGAAGCAGTCTAATGGCCACATGTACTGAAGGCTTCTTTTTTTACCAACAATTTGAGCAATTTTTATATACTACTTTTTATTCTAATGGTAAAATAATAGACAGAAACGTATAGTATGTGTGATTTATTTGAGCACAAAAAGTACATTGTGTGTGAGTCCAGTGCATATGCAGCACTGTATGCATCTTACTAGAGTGTTTTTTTTTGTCTACTTACTCATTGGCAGAAACAAGTTCAGAGTCTGCAATATCTTTTTCAAAGAGTTTGCTGTTGATTGGTGCTTGAAACCCACTCCACATCAGAGATTCAGCTTCATGGCAGTTAGTCAAAACTTTTAGTCAAACTGACTAAAATTATTAAGTTAAACTTAAGTTCCACTAACTAAAAAAGAATAGTTGAAACCCAATTAACTGAATTAAATTAGATTAAGTGTCATAGAAACATTTGTTGTCATGACTTTGTCATTCATTCATTTATTCTTTCATTCGTTCGTTTTCTTTTCAGCTTATTAATCTAAGGTTGCCACAGCAGAATGAACTGCCAACTTGTCCAGCACATGTTTTACACAGTGGATGCCCTTCCAACTGCAACCTATCACTGGTAAACATCCATACACACTCAATCACACACTACAGACAATTTAGCTTACCCAATTCCCCTGTAGTACATGTCTTTGGACACAGGAGAACTGGAGAACCCGGATGAAACCCACACAAACATGAGGAGAACATGCAAACTCTACACAGAAACGCCAACTGACCCAGCCGGGGCTCGAATCAGCGACCTTCTTGCTGTGAGGCGATTGTGCTACCCACTGCGCCACCGTACTGCCCACTTTTTGTCATAAATGTTTTTAACAGTGTATGGTGAATAAATGAGTATTGAATTTAGCATTTCTGGGTGAACTGTCCCTTTAAGAATTTAAGCATTCAGTCCACATCCTACTGCCTTTAAGGAAACACCCATGCACTGAAGCTATTGTCTAGTTTAGTGTATTTAGAAATGAACTATAATGGTCTTTTATAAACATATAAAGTTAAATTAGGCTTTCTTTCCTGATGAATCATGGGATATAAGTATATTGTTGTAGTAGTGTTGTAGTAGTCCGAAGGATATTTGTGAAAAACAGAAACGTGATCTGACTCAAGATGCCACTTTCAAATTAAATGTTCTTCAGGAAACTGTTACAAAACACTAAATAATAATATCGCTCATATTTCCAAGCGAACACAAATACACAAACCCAGTTTTCATGCTTACATTGTACCAGGAACTGTTTACAAATATTTCAAGTGTGTTATATTAAGGACATTTCAGCCTGGGAAAGAGCGCCTGTGTGTATTTCTGTATCCTCTGGCCTGCTCAAGAGCGGAAATAGTCAATCAATGAACTTCTGGTCCAGCTTGGGATAAGCCACACATTTATAATGTCTCAGAATTGTGTAGTTTTTTAAATGTAAAAATAAATAGCTGTATTTAGGCCAAAATCTGTTTCAGATTAGATTGTAAGTTATGTTACAGGGCTGTTTGATGATTAATTCTGACCGATTGACAAACTAAGTAGAAGCTAATAGTTGTTTCCAAAAGGTCTTGATGACTTTATGATTTCATATCACTCTATGCCAAATGATTACAGTGATTTCAGGCTTTTATAGCCTACAAAAGCACAATAAACCATGTAAAAAAACACACTGAGCAATTTAAGACGCACATTAAACCTTTAATGCAATACATGAGTCTAACTACAAGGACCCACTGACTTTATTTTATTTATTTGCAATAATCATTCACTTTCCTTGAGGTCGCCACAGCAGAATGAACTGCCAACTATTCTAGCATATGCTTTACGTACGGACTTGCCTTTCCAGCTGCAACTTAGTATTGGGAAACAACCATACACACTCACTACAACCAATTAAGCTTATCCAATTCACTCATAGCGCATGTCTGTGGACTGAGGGGGAAACTGAAGCACCCGGAGGAAATCCACACCAACATGGGGAGAAAACATGCAAAACTCTCGACTGAAACCAGCAACAATCTGACGTGACATGAGGCAACAGTTCTAACCACTAAGCCAAAGTGCCACCTCTATTTGCAATAAATGAATTCCATCACTTGGTATTTCAGGAACTCCTAAATTAACTTAATTAACTTATGGATAACCACAAATCTTTAGTTTAGGATTTTCTTTGTGTGTGTGTGTGTGTGTGTGTGTGTGTGTGTGTGTGTGTGTGTGTGTGTGTGTGTGTGTGTGTGTGTGTGTGTGTGTGTGTGTCACTGCCCTTCAAATGAATAACATGGGTCTAAAATAACCTATATTCATTCACCATGTTATTTAAATCCTGGCTAAATGTTTCTTTGATGCATCTCTGAAAGGAATGTTTTTATGTTTTAATGTTTCAGCATTTATTATTCCACATATTCTTTTAATATCCTGCTTTTGACTTTCATCAATAATTGTTTTTCTCCCATCCTTATTGTATAAACAGAGATTTTGCATTACATTTTTTTCATTGAAACAAGTATCAACTTAAAAAATCTGGCTGCAGCAATATATACTCTACTTATATTTCTGTGTTTTACCACAAAATTACATTTCTTTAAAGAGCAGTCTTCACTTGGGGGAGTTATAGGAATTATAAGAGGCAGTGTAATAATTCACTTTTGTCCATTGAATTATTAGAAAACAACGCAGAACCAAAAAGTAAAATGCATTACCACTATGTGCATGATTTTTGCTGCTTGCTTAAAATGAGCTGAATCAACACAATTCTTGAGTTTTTTGGGGGAAAACTTAATTGTTTTATGTTTAATCCACTTACATTTGTTAAACAATTACATCAACCTAATAGATTTGTAATAGTTTGCAACGGGCATGTTTGGGAGATCAAGAAGGAATTGTTTGGAACCCACTAGTTTTTACAGTGAGTGTGCATTATTTACTAAAATGTTTTCAATAGGCCAGAGGTACCTATTCTCTATTTAATTGTATTTTTATTCTTGCAATTCTAACGTGCTGATATTGGTTCAAGAAACATTTCTTATGTGCTTAGATTTCTGCTTTAATTTTCTGCTTAGAAGACGAATTGATTTTTACCTTGAAGTGGATTTTCACCCTGTATTCGACTCCCTCCTTCATGGTGAAGCACTTCTTCTTCAGAGCATTGAGGTCACCTGAGAAAAGTAAAAAATACATCAAAACTCTGAAAAAAATTAAATTCTGCATTGGCATTAACACATTTTTAAAAAAAAATGAAATACAGCAGAAATCAATGTATTATCTTGCAAACCAGAGTCTTTTCTGTTGCCTCCTTTGACTTGCAGTTCAACCGAGTTCAAAACAAAGAGCTTCCTTACAAAAGTGCAACTGCTGCGTTATCAATTTATCCCCTGAATCTACCCTAAGTGCTTTGTAATGGATACTGGAGGAGACAGAGGAGGAAGGAGAAATCGGAGATTGATACAGTGAACAACATCAAATGATGATTTGTGGCCCGTTCGCATGATGCCAGACTGTGTTCATTAATGTCCTCTGCTCCACATCTTAACATTAATACTATTTTTAGTGGACCTTGAAGTGGAGATTCTCCATCTTTAAGTGGATTTTATTGTGTGTTTCGACATACCTCTGCTAATAAAGCAGAAAGATCGTCAATCCCTTTTAAAAGCCCTCTTTTTTACATTGCAAAGATGAAACCCTTTATCTGTAATTGACTAAATCTAGCTGTGATGATCAGTGCAATAATATAATCCTGATTGGACAAGAGGATTAGGCTGCGTGTGCGCCAGTAAGAGTTAAATGTGTGATCTTCTTATGACATTAACTTCACTTACATTTAAACCACTGTCTAGACCAGGCCGGTGTCCAGCAGATTTTAGCTTCAACTAACCTCAACACACCTGCAAGGATGTTTCTAGAAAGCTTGACAAGAGCTTGATTAGCTAGTCCAGGTGTCTAATTGGGGTTGGAACTAAACTTTGTGGGACACCAAACCTCCAGGACTGAATTTGGTCACCCCAGGGGTCCGTTCTTTGTATGGATTACTCAATTAGCTGGATTTGGTTATTGATGATTTGACACAATCCAGGATCGTTTAGTTCTTCAAAACTCATGCAGGAGTTACTGTCGCAGCAACAGTTCTGGTAGCTCAAATCTGCTCGGGAGCAGGCTAATTTCATATAAACTGGACTAGATCTGGTCATTTCAAGCAAAGATAATACTGAAAGTTTTCTTACAGTATATATTTCCTTACAATAGTAGTTATATACACTTGGGAAAATAGTAAAAAATAATTTTTTAACTGTATATTTTTAAAGTTTAAAATATATATTAATAAAACTTATGAAATGTGCACTCGAAATAAAAGTACAAAGACTGTCACCTGGTGGTTCAAAAAGAAAATGTATTGATATGAACTGTTTAGATACAAACGCGATACAATTGCTATAGTACAATTTCTGTATGATAATAGACATAAACAAAAGGCATCTTTTTTTTTAAGGAATAATACATTTTTGCAGTCATGAACATGTTTTTACAGCTAATATAACGGTGATCTGATGCAGACACCTTTACCAACATCAAAACGCATTTGTGATGCAAAAAACAGCCAGTTATTCTTTAAACCGATTAAATATCCACTACTAATAAAGAAAATCCGCTCTAACTGTAAAACTTAATAAATTGCTAAATACTCGTTGACAGACGAAAGTGTAAAGCCTGTAGCCCACAACAAAGTTGAAAAGTTATTGTGTATCATATTAAACAAACTATTTCCTATGAATTTTATGTAATGTATGGATAATGGAATATTAATCAGATGATGTCATTACGCTGCTGTGCCGTCAGCCAATCGTTGCATTGCTGATCATGATTTCGAGAATCGATAGATTTGTCGTTTATATCAAACGCAGCGATCTCTGATTAGTTCATCTAGACATTTTAATCTGAATTGCAAACTTGTTTGAAGAACCAAATTAGCCAGAGATCAGTTATCAAGATTAAAAGATCCAGGATCTGCCAAATCATCATTTAAGCAAGGTATGAAGAACGGACCCCTGGCCGAGACTGTATAGAAACAATCGTTCAAAAGTTTGAAGTGTCAGTTGCTCACCAATACTATATTACAAAATATTTAATATATTTTTTAATATAATTTTTTTTCTTGATTCTTTGACTAACACAAATATTTTTTTTAAAAGCTAATTAATATAAATTGTGGCCCTCGACCAGAAAAACTGTCTAATGCAAAAAAATATGATGTATGGGTCAAAAAAAGAAAGAAAAAAAAAAAAAATATATATATATATATATATATATATATATATATATATATATATATTTTTTTTTTTTAAGACCATGTTCCATGAAGATATTTAGCAAATGTCCGACTGTAAATATATCAAAATGTAATTTTTGATTAGTAATATGCATGGATAAGAACTCATTTTGACAACATGAAAAGAGATTTTCTCAGTATTTAAATTTTTTTAACCCTCATATTCCAGATTTTCAAATAGTTGGATCTCAGTTTCCAAAAAGTGACACTTAATACTGGTATTGTGGTCTGGACAGGTCACATTTGTCCTTGTTAAATTTAGTTTAATTCAGATTAATTTGTGACCCTGGACCACAAAATGTCTTATGTTGCAATTTTTGCCAATAGCTATATTATAAAATATCCACAGATACACTGGCAATAACCAAAATAAACTGTATGAGCACATATATATGCCAAATTCATTAAAATATTGAGTAAAAATCATGTTCCAAGCAAAACCTACTGTACCTACTATATTTACACACTGTAAATATATCAAAACTCAATTTTTGATTAGTAATATGTATGGCTCAGACCTTATTTTTTTAACAACTTTATTGATTTTCCCAGTTTTTTGTTTTTTTTACCCTCAGATTCCAGATTTTTAAATAATCTTATTTTAGTTTTGGGCGAGGCAGTGGTGCAGTAGGTAGTGCTGTCGCCTCACAGCAAGAAGGTCGCAGGGTCGCAGGTTTGTGCCTCGGCTTAGTTGGCGTTTCTGTGTGGAGTTTGCATGTTCTCCCTGCGTTCGCGTGGGTTTCCTCCGGGTGCTTAGGTTTTCCCACAGTCCAAAGACATGCGGTATACAGGTGAATTGGGTAGGCTTAATTGTCCGTAGTGTACGAGTATGTGTGTGTGTGTGTGTGTATGGATGTTTCTTAGAGATGGGTTGCGGCTGGAAGGGCATACGCTGTGTAAAAACTTGATGGATAAGTTGGCGGTTCATTCCGCTGTGGCGACCCCGGATTAATAAAGGGACTAAGCCGACAAGAAAATGAATGAATGAATGAATATTTTAGTTTCCAAAAAGTGACACTAAATACTGGTTTTGTGGTCTAGGATGGTCACATTTGTCCTTGTTGAATAAAATACCAATTTATTTGTAAGTATTTTACTAAACCTTGTTAGTGTTTCACCAAAACACATCGCAGAGCTATTAGTTTTAACATTATTGATCCTGAAAATACAGCTTTAAGTGATTGAAAAAGTGACATTTTAAATATTTAAAAAATAAAGATGTTTTATATTAAAATATTTCACAATATTCCATTTTTTTGTTTTACTGTATTTAAGTGTAGTCTAGTCTAAGCACAAGGAAACATTTCAAACATCTAAGAAGTAAATATAATTTGATCTTATGGAAAAACATGCAGTCTTTTTATATTAATTAAATTGCATATGATATCCTTTCTTTCTTATTTTGTTACAGTCTTTAAAGCTTTCTGCGGTATTCCTGAACAATCTGCATAAACCTAGAGCTATTTTCAGAGCCGTTTTCTTCCCCTTCGTTTACAAACGCCAGTAAGTGTGATGGAGCAGGTTCACCAGGGAGATGTGTGCTCTGTCTAAAGACTGAGGGCTGTTTCTGCTGAACTTGTAGTTGGTATGCGGTTTGTATGACTCCCACACAGCAGAGAGAGAGAGAGAGAGATGGATAATAAGAGGCATCCCGCTGGAGAGAAGGAGAGCGGCCCGATCCAGACTCACTCCCACTGCTGACACCTCAACACCATCATCCCGCTTCCTGCTTTAAACTGTACACAGCCAACAAAGGACTAAAGCGCTCTGAATTTATGCTTCTTATAAACTGATTTGACATCAATGTATCTGCCAGATGGCTTATTATTTTATATGTGTGCAGGATAAGACCCAAAATATATTAAAGCAGCCCACACTGCAAAAACATGATTAAACAAACAAACAAACAAACTAATAAATAAATATCTTTGAATATCATTTTAATGAACGGATATGGTTCAAGAAAAAGCCTTTAGTCAAAAAATAATAATAATCTCCATTTGCTATTTTGTGTTTTTGTAAGCATTTTATTTAAAAAAAATATATATGCTATTTAGGGTCCAGCCAGTTGGTCCAATGACGGTATCCAATGGTGGATGAAGGTTCACTGCATGTTCGGTCTTTCCAGTGCACAATGTTGATTTATATTAAACTTAACTCATATCTGACTCCAATTTTAGTATGAGGTGGTTTATTAGAATATTAATATATTTATCCTCGTTTTACCTGACTCCAATTATAAAACATTGAGAAGGTTATTTTGTTTCCATTCACATTAATTTAGGTTATGATTGAATATTCTCTTCGGTTCATCATTTTATGTTATTCTCGTTCATTGGGATCTCTATAACATCCTGAATCTTGTACCGGCCGAGTATACAATTTCTTAAGCACAAGCATGTCAGTCTTGGTCACTAAACAGTGGCGATTGACTGCTATCCTAAAAAGGCAGAACCCTACTTACTCAGATTAGGATATTTTTTATGCGGTCCCCATAGGTCTGCTACCTCCTAAATCAGACAGAGCTATTTAGTCATATAACGATCATTACTATAGAATTAAGCAGACCAGTCGTACTTAAACTAGTAGTAACTTTGAATAATCACTATACTATCTAAATAGTATTAAAAGTTTATCGGGTGAAGGACTATCCCCTTAGATATCCTTTTACAGCCTAAGTATACATGAATAAATGCCAATTTGTTAGTCGGAGCTCTAGAGACATCGTGTAGCGTGCCGCAATGCTCCGTCTACCGTGTTCTAGTCCGCTACTAACCTGAACAGGGGCTTGTGGTGCTATGAAATTACCACAATCTACTAAAGATAATAACACGA